ATCATAATAAAATAAAAAGACTCCGGTCTAACTTGATCGAATGTCATCCATATCTTCTTTTGAGTATGATGTTTTGTTGTTAAACTCCTATAATCATAACAAAAATAAAATTATGATAAGCTAATAACAACTCGAACTTAAGAAGATATAAATTAAGTCAATACCTTATGCTTCATCCATCCCTCTTTAATGCTTGTGGAGACAATATAGAGCATATATCTCATAACATAATATCCACATGAATGGAAATCAGGTTGTTTTCCCCACTACAAATAATTTTCATATATTTATATCATACTAATACACACAAATAATATAATATCAATAAATACACAAGTAACATTCTTACTTTAGGGGAAACATTGATAGGCCTTTTACCAAGTACATTATGTTTGAATGCATTATACTCCTCCATCACTCTACACATGTCAGTTAAAATTAAACATAAATAAAATTTATTCAACTCTAAAGTTAAAAATAATACGACTTACCTATTCAAAGTGTTAACCGCTTCTTCGGGCAGTTCAAAGTGCAATGAGCAAAACACAACTATAGTATTTCTCTTGGGACATATAACGATTAGTTGCCAATATTTATTGCATAAACATTCAGAATAATTAATATGTATAAAATTGATTTATAAATGAAAACACAAATTAATATATACTTACTTGCGGTAAAATGAGGCCAAATAACACTTTTTGATGTTCCCTTTCAATTTATCTTTTAAGTAATTACAAATATTGTGTCCTATCGAACCGCGTGTAAGACCAATGTGCGCCGAATCTAAGATATAATACCTGTTTAGAAGAATGTATGACTATAAATAGAGATCAACATAAAAACTATACATACGAGGACCAAATTTGTAATACTAAGTTGTCTATGTACACATTTTCTGACAAAAATTCATGGACAGAAGTCCTAAAAAGCATGAATAATTGTTTTGGATCATGACTTAATTTAATATCCAACAATGTGTCTAGAAGAGTGTCAATAATCATTCTTAGTCTCTCAATGTTATCTAGTCTTGATGGTGTGGGTTCAATACTGCCCTGGTTGGTAGAAAAACTTTCTTTCACGCTTGTACCACCCGTAACTTTCTGAACTTCATTATCTTGAATTTCAAACTGATTTGAATTTGTGTAGCTTAATAGACCTATTGAATTCAATTTTTGCATCATAAAAACAACATAAATATAATCTAAAATTAAAATACGCAAACAATAATAACAACAACATACAACTTATACCTCAAGCACATCACGAGTACACTTCTTAGACACCTTCACCTCATCCATCCTCTCTCGCTCCTCTTGCTGCTTCTTAAAAATCTCCTGCACCGTTTAGAACAACCTATCCTCCTCCAACTTACTATCCTGCTCCTCCCTCCATCTTTTCTTCTCCTCCTTAGACTTTTTCCTATCTTCCTCCAACTTCTTATCCTGCTCCTCCATCCACCTCTTCCTCTCCTCTTCAAACTTCTTCATATACTCCTCTAACTTCCTATCCTACTTTTCCCTTTCCTTCTCCAACTCAACAATACCAATCTCTTTAATTTCTCTCTTGCAGGTTTTCCCACTTGATGATTTAGGTGGTCCATAAAAAACCTTGAAGCCAATGCCTCTTCCAACACCATAGACATGCCCAGGATGCTCCTTGGTTCCAATCGCTTTTACTAAGATGTCATGACGATCTTATGAAGTGAAGGGGTTGGCTTTGGGTTGTTAAACCAGATCACCCTACAACACATATGAAATTTCATCTTTAACAAATTTATTTAACTAAAATAAATATTGTTGAAAAAAGTATCTACTTACAATCGTTTGAGCCACTTCGTGCATAACATCTGATGTGAACTTGCCGTCTTTTATTTGACGTGCCCTCTTCTATTTCTCGTGGCGTGATGTTGGAGATAAAGTGCGATTAAGACTAATAAAACCTTTTTGCTCTTTATCCCTTTGTTTTATTTTTTCTTCGATCATTGCCTTTTTAAGTTTATGATATCCTCCACAAAATAATCTATGTGGATAGATATTTCTAGCTCGATTTTCCTTTCCATTTTGCCTCTTTGCCAAGAACTCAGGAGTGGTACGAGACTCTACAAATTTCTCCCAAACATCTTGATCAATAAATGGATACACATCACATGGAGGCTTTTCTTTATCTTCTCCATATTTAATATAATCACAGGTGAGTTGTGTCTTAAAATCCCTCCAACGCTCACCGTAATGTGTAATCATCTTCTTTTTCACATAACCATTATTTGGACAAACAATAAGCACATCCCATGTTTACACAATAAAGATGTTATTAGTAACAATGAACATATCATATGTTTAAACAAAAAATAAATGATCATATATACTTGAACATCTTGTCATATCGCGTCTTTCAATTCATCTTCAACCTCGTGCCAATTATCAATCAAAATGCTCACTTTACTTTTACCTTGTAACGTAACGTAACCCATAAAATCATCAGGGTGTTCACCATAAGCCCTACCGGTTGCGGTATCAACTATAACTGGGGTAGTGAATACTAGTTTCTTGGGATTTTTTCACTTTGGTACACATCGTGATACCTCTAATTTTTCTTCTACAATTTGTATTAACAGATGTTTATGGGAGGTACTTATCGAATTAGCTATGATTATCAAGAGACAAATACTTAGAAACAAAATGATCAAGAGCCACACAGTGAAAAACAAAAATGATATATAACTCATTTCGTCAATATATAACTCGTTTCAGTGATATATAACTTGTTTCAGTGAAGAACAAACCTGTTAAAAAAATGATATTTATTGACGAAATGACTATCTAAATAAACCTCAAAATAATTAAGAGAAACTATACTAACTAATGTTTCAATAAAAACAAATGGAAAATCGTAGAAACAAATGATCAAAAGATAAACTAACGTAAAACCCTAGACAAAATGATCATTGAAAAACAAAGTGATATATAACTCGTTTCACTGAAGAACAAATCTGTTGCGAAAATGACGTTTGATGAATATTTGTTGGAAGAGTTTTGATGAATATCAGTTTGAAAATTGCTTAGGTTTTTGTAAAATGAGTGACTAAATGACGTTTGAGCGTTGTTAGGTAAATAAAAAGTTAGAAATTGACTAGATTGTAGTCTGAAGTATCTCATGCAATAAATGTTTCACGTCGGTTTTATATAAAATATGATGTGACATTATTAATTAAAAATATCAAATATAAAAAACACAATAGCGCCATATTCTGAGAGTTCAATTAAAATCTATTTAACGTTGATTTTGTAGTATAACCGAGGGGTTTGTACATATCAAATAAAAAATTAAAATAAAATTTTGAAAAATAGTATTTTAAAATTGATTAATGTAAAATATATTATCTCTCAGTTGGATTATGTAGTCGAGGTAAATACTAATAAATAATAAAAATAATAACAATAATAAAAAATGAAACTTGAAAAGGCGCAAAATAAGAAATACAAACTAAACAATTAAAAAAATAAAATAAAATAAAAAAACGGGGTGTTGAGAGGAGCTCCCTCGTAGATCTTTTCCCTCGCTTTTCTAAATAAAAAATTATTAATTAAAAAAAAGACTAAAAAAAAGACTCCCAGTATTTATTCTCTATTTTTCTGTTTTTCTATTGTTAGTGTTTTGTCTTAAAAAGCATTATTTATTGTAATGCATAAAAGTGAAGAAAAGTTTCCAAATCTCTTCTTAATTATCGTAAAAATCTTCCAATAGTCCTTCAGTAATGGAGCTTAAAAGAGCATAGTCATCTCCCATAGAAGATATTTTTATTGAAGAAAAATCAAGGATGATAAGTCCTTCAGAGACAAAAGATACTTGTATTTGTGAGTTCAGAACCCCACATAACAGCGTGAAAAGATGCAACCAAGACATCATCTTGCTCAACATCAAGCCATTTAACCATCTCAGAGAAAGAATAAGGACATGAAGTGAGTTCAATAGATTTCATACCCAATCTCCTTCAGGAGGAAACCACATCTTTAAAGCTAGTACCAAGAGAAAAACCACTCCTTGTAGATGCCCTAGACCGAGTTACATGTTGTACCCTTGAAACCTTCACACCGGAATGATGCTTAGTAAATCTGGCAAGATTCACCCTTAACTTGAAAGAACCCATCCACATATCCTCTAGGGAAGATTGGAGTTTGTGCAGATTCTTCACCTCCGAAAATCTAACGAAATCAAAGTAAGATCTTCCTGTTGTGAGACCTTCTTCGATTTGTTCATAGTAGAAAAGCACCTGATGCAATGCGAAATGCGAAAGAATGATTTTGAGGAGAGATAGTGCAACAAAGAAAGAGGAATGGAGCTTTATGTATGCATGCGATTTGGGGATGGATGATGCACATGGCTTGAATGTAGAACAGTGCACTCAAAACCATAGAAAAACGAGATTCTCAAAAGCTTATCCAGATCAATGAGGAATGGAAAAGTTTTGATATGCATGAAAAGGGGAATACATGCAAATGCAGATGCATGAAAGGAATTCTCAGTGTTCTTCTACCATGAACCTCAATAACTTGTTTGTACAGGGTTTATTATTTGTTATTCAACTTTAACTAAAGTATTTCTGATGAAGTATGTTCGAATTGTATATGTTATGTAAAGTGTTTCTGTCTACACTTTCCATACCATTATATAACCATAAACATGTTATACACCTTAAAGATTACTATTTAATTATTAATTAACATATCTAAATTTGATGCGTCCTACATAGAATACCATAACAATCATCTTTGTCATTCATCGGTTAACCTGTTGAAAATTCAATAATGCTAACAATCTATTATAAAATGTTAATTGGAAATTTTGTTCCTAGTGAACAAGTCCTCAAAAAGAAAAAATTAAGACTAAGAAGCTAAAACTATTTTGTAATACATGTATATAATACAGACTTGATGTGATGACAGAGATGCCAAATAACTTGGGAAATAAACCATGATTTGATGATCACCTAGTGTGTCCTAATGACAGGATGTACAACATGAGAAACAACCTAGCCATTTATTTGGAGTTGGAGCTTCATTTGTGTTTGACTTTGCTTCCTCATTAACTTCTTTTGTTGTTTCATTTTCCTCTGACTTCTTCTGTTGTGTTTGCTTTTCTCCAGCACCCTTGGATGAAACATTTTTATCTCTCTCTTTTGATCTTCACAATAAATAACCAAAAAAAGTTATTAGATGTAAAAGTCGGTTACATTATTAGTTATGCTACCAAACTAGTAATAACTATTAGAAACACAGACATACGATTTGAACTCATGTAATGACATTAAACCTAGCAATATCGGTTTCTGCCAGTTGAGTTAGAACTTAAGCACGGGCTGTTCTTTCCTTAATATAATTTCTACCAAGATCATAGAAATACTTACGTTTGAAATGCATAAGATTTGGTGCTACTATCTGAAGGATGTAGAGAACTAGATCTTTTATCTTGCATATTCTCCGTGGTTCGAGAATTTTCCATTATGACTTCTCTCATCGTTTCAGCAGCTTTTGCTTCTGTTACCTTCAAACCTTCTTCATGCAACTCAGCAGTTCTCTGGCTTATATCATTGAATTTGTTCACCGGTGTTGGAGGTTGATTATTTGGCGAAGAAGCATTCGGTTGTTGATCACCCGTGATTGCATCACCTGGCTTATCCATTTCACAAGATTTAAAGCAGGCTAATTCACTAGAGAAGCTCATGTTACCCATGTAAATGCTAAACAAAGATTCATTAGATGCAGTGCTCCATTCTACCGGCACATTTGTGCTGTTTCTAGCAAACACATGAGATGGAAAAACATACGGGGAAGTGGCGGTGGTTTCATTCGGACGCTCCATCACTTGTACTTGAGGGGTTTGTATCTCCGGTCCTTTGTTCATGCCATGTTCTAGGGTTTGGCCAGATGAAATAGATGGTGAATGGTGTCCTCCTGCTACAGAACCTACATCACTTGATTCTCTAGATACATGAGAGGCCAACCCTAAATTTGGATTTTCATTATTGGTTGCTCCTGTAGAAGTGTGGTTGTGTTCATGATTTGGTAATTCAAAAGTTGGAGAAGGTGTAGTTATAGTTGTACTTCCATCAGAGTCATTACTATTTGTATTGGTTTTTTCATGTAATAAATTCTGTTGTGATGATTCACGTGTAGGTGGTGAAGAGTGTGTTTCATCTAGAGGATTAGAAACACTTGTGTTTGAACTATTGTTATCCATGTTATTTGTAATATTGTTAGTGGTTGCATCACTCTGAACTAAGAAAGGGTTTTGGGATGACGACGATGACGACAATGACAACGACGTAATAGGGTTGTGGTTGTTTGCTATAACAGAATGATCAGTTTCCAAAATATTATCATATGTGCTACTTTCAAGTTCTTGTTTTGTTGATGGAGGAGGTGGTGCTTGATCAACCTTGAATTTTTTATCACCTTCAGCTTCCATCCACCAACAAGGTTTGAAAGATTGTTATAGAATTACACCAATCTGAAAAAAAAATTGATTAAAACATCATAATCTTCATATACAACAATATTATAATCATATGATCATAATAATATATTATTGAGTTTTTCAAATTGTGCATCATCTCCATTAATATCGAGAATATTGAAGGTATAAAACATGCAAATTAATTCAACAAGCATATTTATCAATAAAACATCTCAAAAGAAAGAGAAAACAAAAACGTGAATCAACATTAATGCATAACGTAAAATAATTATAAAAAACAATGCAATTCAAAAACATGTAGAGAAGATGATAATATAATAATATTACATTGAAGATTGAAAGAGACTGCCGACGAGGCCGCTGCTGAAATAAACTAAGGCATATATGAAAATGGCCAAGAAATCAGCAGTCCCATTTTCTATAGGAACTAAGGAAGACAAAAAATAAGGTAAAAGTTATATTGAACAACATGCCAGATGGATAGAATAAGACAGAAAGAAAGTGATGAATTGTAAATCCAAAACAAGTTAAGTTAAATAGATGGTAATACACAAATTTAGGGGTTGAATTATTTTTTATTTTTCGAGTAACAACTAATTACCAAACTTTTACTTTTATATGCTAAAAAATGAAATTGTGACAACTGTTGACCTCATCATCATGCGTTGTACAATGCACGACTTGGTCTCCTTTCAATTTGTCATTTAAACATTAGGTTGAGTTTATTTTATTACTAGTTAATAGTTATATGACTTACAAAATTCACCATTGAATATTTTTCGTTTATTGTAAATATAGTTTTGAAACAATTGTGGGTAATTAATTTTAAATAAAAAATGTGGGTTGGTTTGTAATGATAAAATGAGGGACTAGTCGGTATAAAGAAGAAAGTGTTTTATTTCTTATGGAGAAATCTCCAATGGAGAATATGAGTTGTAATTATTTCAACTTGGAGAAAGAAATAGGAAATCATTGTTTTTTATAAACAAATTTTGAGTTAAGAGGAGGTCCTAGGTCCTTCAATCCAATTACAACAAAACCATAGTTTAAAAGTAATCTTGACTTATAAATAAAGATTTGGGAAACAACACCAATCTATCTAGAGAGATTCATTATCATTATTATGAGACAAAAGTAAATCTCTCTCAAAATTTAAATATAAACAAATAAATCAACTTTTTAATGTCTACAAATGATTCTATTTCTATAGGACCAAATAAACCACGTCCAAGACCACACAGACCAACACAACTTACGTAACGGCACAAACCCTAAGCCTTCCATAAAGTAATTAAAGTGTTCTACCGAATTTGAAATGACATTAATCTAGACACACTTCAACTAAGAACAAGCAAGTCACTATACGTTACGACTAATTTTACAATTGAAGAAAAGATGCACAATATCTCCTTTTTTAAAAGAGAGGACACACAAATTCATGAATACCATTAATAACATTTATCATTTCAAATCAACTTTAGTTTGCAATTTATTGATTAACAACCTCCACATGAAAATTTGAATTTACTTGAAAGTTTCGATTGCCATAGATCCTTAAGAACATGCAAAACCTCCTCCTCCAATACTAACTCTAATTGCTTCAAACTCACCAAAACGTTGTAACCGTGCTTAACCAAAAATTCAGCTCCACACATGGTTATCGCGCGCAAATTTGATGGGTCTAACCTCCTGCAGGATGTCCATCAACATATTGAATTCTGCCACAACTAAAAAACTCATGTGAAACCTGCAGATCTCAAAACCATTCTTCCCATAACCAATACTCAACATCATGCACCAGAATGTTGAAATTTAAAGCATAACAAAAACTGTTTAGGAACTGCTGCATCAATGGAATCTGCCTAAGCCAACTGTGATTTCAAAACCAAATATTGTTACCGTTCCTAATTGTTGTGAATTACGACAAAATTCAATATCAATTTGTGAGGCAAAGAAAAATAGCAACCAAAATAAATGGTCTTCAATAATAATAATTCGTACACAGATAATATAACAGAATAAGGTAAGAAAAAATCGAAGGTTTGTTTATCCAGTTCGATCTAACGATCTACTCTGGGGGAGAAAGCAACTCTCCAATTCACTATACTCAGAAAGTTGATACAAGAGATTACAAATGAGTTACAATAAAATAGCATTCGCCTCAGGTTTCCAAGAACAACCTTATTTTCTATCCAAGTGCTTCCCAACCTCTCCAACTCTCAATATATGAATCACTCAAACCCAAGATGTAATAGTGTTTCATAATAACCTTAAACAACTCCAAAGGTTTCCCTAAACCTTATCTTTTCTAAGGTTTTTCTTGTGAATAGTTGAAATCATATGTCATGTCTTTAAACCCTTACTCTCCCTTGTTGGTGTAAACTCTAATATTGTCACACACCAAGCATATAAGAGATACATATTTATAATAGCAAATACCCAACAAACAAAACCCAAAATCACATGAATCCATGGACCAAATCGAAAAAAGTCCGAAAACTCAAAAACAATATTCACCATACGGAATACATTATTCACCGTACGAACATCACTATTCATTCGTACGGATAGCACGATTCGTCGTACGGACATCACTATTCACTGACCATTTTTTTCTCGACTTTTCGTCCGACTTTTTAAAACTTCCGATTTTCACGATAAATGCAATCTCCAAAATATATTTTCTTTCTTTTCATCAACAAAGGTTTTAAGGCACATTTACAATAATTTCCACCTTAACTTTAAACCGTGTTGATACCAATTTAACAATCAACTGTAAGAACACAGATTGTTTCTTAGTAATATCTCTATGTTTTGATGATAACTCTTATGAAATTTTGTATTAAAGAATTATATACTCTAAAAGTGGTTCATGAATATTTGCTGCAGATAATTAAAGTATATATACATCCAAGAGCAAATTAATCTGAACATAGAACTATGGAAGGCTCTGAAGAGTCAGAATCATCTTATAGAAGAATCTAAGCGCTGTCTGCAGAAGAATCTGAAGCAGAAGCTACAAAAGGATCTGAAGCAGAAGCTACAGAAGAATCTGAAGCAGAAGCTGCAGAAGGATCTGAAGCAGAAGACTCTAATAAGATCTGAAGACTCTGAAGCATTAAAGAACTTTGTATGAGAGTTAAGAAGCTCAGTTTTTCAGAAGACTCTGAGAGTACTACACGCTGCATGCACTAAGGATCTGATTCATAAAACTCTGCTCTGAAAGAACTACACGCTAAAGCACACTTGCTGCCTTACTCTGATTCAGCAAAATCTGATGGGAATCCAAGACTCTGATCATGCAAGATCTGATGGTTACCCTGCTGAAAAGAAATAATTATTGAAGAAGAATTCAAAGTAATATCCTTTGATTTAGCTCAACGACTCTTTCCTCTTTCATGCTTGACACTAGAACACAGACCAAAAGCATTTCTCTATGCATTCTACTTCTAGGAAAGGTCATGTGATGTAAAGACAAAAAGGTTCAGGCCTTTTCAGTACACAGCCTCCAATGTCAAGACTTTGTGGACTATTGTGCATATAAAAGCAAGTCTTCATCATCTTCTTTAGAAGTGATCTTTAACAAACCAATCTCAAAAGAAAGAAACTCTTACAAGCTCTCATAAAATATTCTTATTGCTGAATTTATTCTTTTGTTCTTAACATTAAGTGAAAAATCACTGTTGTGATAAAGCTTGTTAGAAGCATTCTTACACTTGTATTAATCTTATATTTTATTGTAATAGTTCCTTAAGAAGATCCAGTTGGGATCAGTAGTTCTTGAGAAGACTTTGAACAGTTGTTCTTAGTGCTTACTATTGTAATCAGTTGATTAAATAGTGGATTAAATCCTTGTTTGAGAAAGGAAAATCACTCTAGATAGGGTGGACTGGAGTAGTTGAGTTCAACGAACCAGGATAAAAATACTTGAGTTCTTTTACTTCTAAGTTTTATCTTCATACTTATTCAACCCCCCCTTCTAAGTATTTTCTCACCTTCATCAACAACATTGTTGCTCTCTACCAAGTTGAAACTTTAATCAATAACTTTGATCAAATTCAAGCAACCCTTGAATCTTGATCTCGCAACTTGAATCCACTTGTTCCCAGTTACCCTTTTCTGCCTAGGTGATTTACCAAGCTTACAAGTATGATTTTTCAACCACCATTGACTCCACCTATTTTCAAATGCCTCTTTGAAGGTTTTTCTTCTTTTATTTTGCAGTCCTTCAACCATATTAAAAACATAATATCCAAGGCTAGCATAATTGTCCCTTTGAGATGCTACAATAACCCTCATTACGCGCAAATTTGATGGGTCTAACCTTCTGCAGCATGTCCATCAACATATTGAATTCTGCCACAACTAAAAAACTCATGTGAAACCTGTAGATCCCAAAACCATTCTTCCCATAACCAATACTCAACATCATGCACCAGAATGTTGAAATTTAAAGCATAACAAAAACAGTTTAGGAACTGCTGCATCAATGGAATCTGCCTAAGCCAACTGTGTTTTCAAAACCAAATATTGTTACCGTTCCTAATTGTTGTGAATTACGACAAAATTCAATATCAATTTGTGAGGCAAAGAAAAATAGCAACCAAAATAAATGGTCTTCAGCAATAATAATTCGTACACAGATAATATAACAGAATAAGGTAAGAAAAAACCGAGGGTTTTTTTTATCCAGTTCGATCTAACGATCTACTATGGGGGAGAAAGCAGCTCTCCAATTCACTATACTCAGAAAGTTGATACAAGAGATTACAAATGAGTTACAATAAAATAGCATTCGCCTCAGGTTTCCAAGAACAACCTTATTTTCTACCCAAGTGTTTCCCAACCTCTACAACTCTCAATATATGAATCACTCAAACCCAAGATGTAACAGTGTTTCATAATAACCTTAAACAACTCCAAAGGTTTCCCTAAACCTTATCTTTTATAAGGTTTTCCTTGTGAATAGCTGAAACCATATGCCATGTCTT